AGTAAGATTTGTAAAGAACTGAAATGTTGTAAAATATTACACGCACAGAATGAATGCCAATTTTTGTAAATTTTTTAGATGGGGTGAAAGAAAAGCCGAGACACCCTTTTTTCACCGGATTTAGCCCACTTTATTCTGATGAAAGGCAATACGTGCTTAATTTGGTGTATGATTTAGGCCATCTGGGGCGCTGATGGCGCTCTTTTGTGGTGGTCATGGGAGCTGGCGCGCAATCTGGTTGTGGAGGAAGGCGATAGCCATTAAAAGTTAGCCATATAAGACTTATGTTACGGCCATATTCCAGAGCGTTTCACTTTAACCTCACAAACCATTGCATATCTTCTGGCCCTTGGTGTGTAAAGTTTATTGCATCGTTAATCCGCTAAGCTGTTACAATTTGTATCTAGTGGTGAGAGCATCCACGACTTTTTGTTACGAGGGTAGAGAGGGTTCTGATATTGGTGCGCAGCTATATACGAGAAACGTGCGTCTCTATGGGGAGGCAAAATTCTGGTTTCATGAACGAATGTAGCTACTGAGTTTGGGGCGAAGCCATCCGGCCAAATGATACACCCCACTCCAATTTCCTTTTTGTCTTTAAATAAGGTCACAGCGCCGCCCCCCCCCCCCCATCCCCTTCCAAAATAGCGTTGCTTTATTAGCGTTAAGATTTTTTGTGACATGCGAGTTGTGGGAAAAAAATGTTTGTCTCAATTTGGCGCTGTACCTCATTTCTCAACTCAACTTTTTGCCATGTCATCAGGAGTAACATTAATCCATACTTGTATGGGGCTTAGGCAACAGCAAGCTGCTTTCATAAGATACCTAACGAAATGCGCTGAAAGAACAACTTTGAGGATGAGTTTGCTGTAACTCTGGAGCAGAACATGCGCGTGCTATTAACAGGACTTTCACAAGCCCAGCTATTTTCAACACTCGGGTCGGGGATCAATTTGACCTATCCCCTCTTTCCAAGGTTTCCCAAAAATGATTTCTGACCGGGCGGCACATAGCCGTTGGAGCGTTACTAGGTGCGCCGTCATATACGACAATTATAGTTTCTGTAAAAAGGTGAACATCCGTCTACATTTACGACAAAGTTTTGGCTACGACGAAGGTTTTGGCCGCTACCTCGTGCTGAACTTTGCATAGCTGTAGACAACTGGACAACGGATCTTGAGGTATAAAAAGTTAGATGCACATGGTCAGGCTGCTGACCTGTGGCAGGCCGAAGTTAGGCCAGGGCTATCAGCGAGGATGATTCCAGTGGAATCGTTCAAGGTGATGCGTCAAAGTAATTATTTTAAAGACCCTTTTCACCCTTTACCCATCAGTACATCACACGCGTCCAATTTGATGGGTCATGCCAGTGTTCTCGAAACCCCTCTGAATATTTCAGAATTTGTATTTGAACTCGCTGACCCTGCGGGAGAAATCTCATTTGACTGCATGCTGACCGCTATGAAAGTAATGCACTTCATTTGCCGTACTTTTTCCATTTACACGGAAAAATATGCGAGCATGAAGCTAATATCCCGCAAGTTCAACGCAATGTTATGGCATTATGGCTTCCGTATGGCGTTGCGGCTTTGATCAATCCCTTGTTCCTCAAAAAGGCTCTATGTCAGTCAGATTCTCGGTACCAAACGAGGCCCTCCGCTCCATTTCAGCCAAGGACCGTCGAACTGAAGCCTCTGTGCCCGTGTTTTGGCCACCTGCGGCGATAAGGTGTATTCCTGCGTCAATGAGAGTTCTTGCGTCTATCCGGCGCCAACTGCACGGGTCAGGGGCCTCCAGTGTCGGCATACGTCTAATGTATAATGGGTCCTTCTAAGGGCTTTTGTATCGACCAGGGTACACCGCCATTATCACCGGCATTACATTAGGCACCCCATACTGTAATGGAATGGCCCCTCAGTCCCGGACCAGAAACAGAATGTTCCGCCCAGTGCTCTACCCACTTGGCCGTTGGTCCGGAAAACATAAGGGTCTTCCGTAGTGCGCAATAGGGCGGAAAAAGGGAGGCAAAACATGAAAACGCCCAAAAAACGAGAATGTCCACTCTTGTCCAGAACCAACTTGTGAAACAAATTACATAACCAAGTTTTGATTCTGCCTGCTCGCAAATTTAAGAAACAAGAACCCTGACTGCCGGGGTTTCAGTGTCAATCAACCCAAATGGCGTTGGGTGATGCAGTTAACACCAGGCAGCGGACCCCTGGCGCGCGAGAACAGCCGTCGTGACATAATACTCCCGAAAACTTTTCAACATCATTTTGAGCCGGTAGAAATAAGGCCGGGCTTATTTATAGCTGAACCGCATAACTTCTGTATTGTACTCTCAACAGCGACAGAAGCAAGAAAATAGAGATTCCATCGTGACTTGTCCGGTTCCATCAACAGAGTCCAGCATCGCTTCGCGGGGCAGTGCTAATCCAATCTGGGCCCTTAATCCGTTCCTCTTACAAATCAGAAAATGCCCAGGTGAAAGATGCTGCTGGACTATCTTCTAAGCGTACAAATCGACGTCATAAGTTGCTTAAAGGTACTTTCCACAAAAAAGTTATCGTTAAGTTATGCAGCTTCTGGCTTCTGTTTCAGTCAAAGATGAATATTGAAGTACAGCGAAGAAAATCGTGCCCTCAAAGTCAAGTGATCATCCGTCATCCGATGATTTTTTTGGAGAGGGAAATTTCACAAGAAAGTGCCCTTGTCAACCACGCCTCTCCCCCCACATTGTCAACAATGGCTGCGTCGCTGTGTGGGAGAGCTCATTGGTGAGCATCGATGCGTACGCAAGTGTAGTCGCATGGCCACTTAAGAGCCAGCTCAATAACTTATGTTGTTGAAATCGGCTTGTGTTGCACACGACACTGCACTGACGAGACCTTCACTTGCCACATACCCGAACTGAGGCGGGTGAGGATCGCTTACCATTTAGAAGCACAACAGTGCGCGTTTTTTAACGAGCGGGGTAAAGGTATTCTCAGCAGAAGGGCATCTGCCCGAGTGTATTTGGGGAAACGCTGATTATCATGCTCTGAAATATTGGGTGGAAGAGTGCTTATGTTTTGATTACAAAATCTGAAGTGTCTATGTCTTATCCATGCACCCGTTGTATCGAGAACGTTTGTGTAAACTAACTGTGATAACCACATATATTGTGGATGCTTTACTCTTGTAAAGATGTTGCCATATGTACCACAAGCTACCATAGCTATAATGGTCAGCTACTCGCAGATTTCACTTTACACTATGTTAGAGAAAGGTGCAACTGCACCACTTCAGCTCCGCAACTCTGTGTGGGAGGGTAGGCTATAGACACACACACACATAATATATATATATATATATATATATATATATATATATATATATGTATGTATATGTATATACATAATGTATAGGCAAAACATAATTAAACCAAATCCGGAAAGTTTTTCGTGTCTGTCCCCTTATGGCGACTTTCACGACTCTGTCTTCCCCCGGTCGTTTTGAGAAATTAATACCCATTGTTAAAGGCGAGCTTATCTTATCATATCTGAGGCTTGCTTTAACATGTTCAAACGTGGAGCATTCCCTTTGAGGCTCCCGTATGTCTTTAACCGCGCCGGCGCGGAACAAACCAACCCCGGCGGCCGCCAAACGCAGACTGTGGTCCTGTCCTTAACAAATGGCCGTGCACACGCGCGCAAAACTGTGCTGCACACGCACATCAAAATATATCGCACCCGATATTTTCGTTTAACGTCTTCCTCGCATGCCATCAATGCTGGTGGTGGCAGGTTCCGTTACCGTCAGGTGGGTGCGTGGCGTCTGTGGAGCCCCTGGAAAGCTGCTTTCCCCATTTGACAACTGGCTGCGCCGCCACTGCGCTGGAGGCGTACTTGCTGCGATAAGGAGGCCGCGGACCCAGTGGTGACATCCGTCTATGTCGCATCCGGTCCCGGTGCCGCGGCTCCAGTGCAGCGGTCAGGCGACTGGCACACAGTTCGAGCCGGCCGGTGGAGCGCACAGGGGACGTGCCGGGTTCGACCTGCGGTCACCCACCGCACAGGAACAGTGACATTGTGGTCCGACCTGCTGCGATCCATCGTGCGGAATCAGTCAGGGCGTTGTTCTGCCAGGCGGCGGAGATGCGCCGTAGCCGGGCGGTGGAGGCGCGAACTGGACTGATGCGCGGAGCTGGGACAGCCAGCATGTGATCTGACCTGCAACGACCCAGCGTGCGCGGAGAGTGAGGTTCTGGTCCCGTCCGAGGTGATCAACTGCACTGGAACGGTGTGTGTGTTTTAACTTGTGCTGCCACGCCGTGCTGCGACGGTAAGGGTGTAGACTTTGAACCAAGAACGCCAGCCTGGGCTAAAAAAAAAATGAGATCCCATCCTCCTTTCCTATACCCTTTTCTCGCTCTTGTCTTGGTAGTATTATTAAATATTGCGATGTTTTATTGTCGGAGCGTAACCATTGATAACATCGTTGCACCACGCCCGAATGGAGGTTCGCCGAAACCGATCGAAGATGGTCAGGACGCCGACCGAGGAGAGCGTCCTTTGTATAGCATGACGCTGTCTATATCGCCATCGAAGGACGTAACCGCTAAGGAGAGAAGTATTTACGAAAACAAAACCCGCATTCGAGCTCTATCGCAGATGACAGAGCCGAACGGCGCCAAAAACTCACGCTTGCGGCTGGTCAAGCAGGGCGGAAGTAACCCCGCATTCGTCAAGTCATCCTCTCCCGCCACGAGCGGGCTTTCCCCTGAACAGCATACCCCACGCCTGGAGCTGAACGCGACGCTTGACGAGGACCTGGCGCGCTGGTTGAGGCCTCAGCTTGCTCGTCTTCCGCCGGCGGAGGTGGCGGCGGCCGCGGCCGCCATGGCGGCGGAGCGGCTGGGGCGCCAGGCGGCGCCACTGGCGCGGCGCGCCGACCCCGTGGCGCTGCGGTACGGCGGCGGCGGTCTGACGCTGGCCGGCGAGCGCAGCTGCCCAGACCAGGCGGCGCGCACGCGGCTGCTGGTCGTCGTCGCCTCCACGCCGGCCAACGTGTCGCGGCGCAACGTCATCCGCGCCACGTGGGGCACAGTCGCTCTGCGTACTGATGTCGTCCTCGTCTTCCTGGTCGGCCGCACCACGGAACGCGTCCAGGCGCGGCTGATGAGGGAGCACGCGGAGCACGGCGACATCGTGCAGGGCAACTTCGTGGACAGCTACCGCAACCTGACGCTGAAGACGACGTGCATGTTGGAGTGGGTCAGCCGGTTCTGTTCCCGCGCGTCCCTCGTGCTGAAAGTCGACGAGGATGTGTTTTTACACATCCCGAACTTGCTATCATTTCTGGAGGAACACAAACGAGCAAACAGGACGATCTTCGGAAAACTGGCGCACAACTGGCGGCCGTTCCGAGATCAAAAGAGCAAGTACTACGTCAGCCGTTCCGAGTTCCCGGGTAGCGTGTATCCCGACTTTATGACAGGGCCGGCGTACCTGCTGACCGGCGACCTGGCCCCGCTCCTGTATCGAGAAGTGCTCGTCACCAGGTTTCTCTTTATAGAAGGACGCACTGATTACTGGCGTGGTGGCCAAAAAAGTAGGAGCGCATCGCGAGTCGGCAAAACAATTTCTCAACATTCGCAAGGTGGACAGGTGTTCTGTTCAGCGAGCTATATCTGTTCACATTGTTACACTTGCGGAACTGTACGAGTTTTATCGCATGATTTCATCGGGTGAGGACGTGTGCAAGGATATTGTAAAAAGCACTAAGAATTCGTGAGCGCAAGCTGCGTCTGGTTAAGGAGATAAATGCTGAGAAGCGTCAAAGGTACTGTGAATGTTTGACGCTAATGGGGGAGGAGGTGCGCGCCATACAAAGACAATAATGCGCCTAAATGCTGAAGCGTTTTTTCTTGAGAAGTTCTTAACCGGAGTTTTGAAGAAAGAAACTACCAAAGAAGTAGGACTTCAATGCTGGCAAGAGCAACGGAATGCAGACCCGAGAAGGCAAAAGACGAGTGAGAGACACCAGTGAATGCGGCGAATGCAAAAGAGCTGCAGTGGACGGATGCGAGAGGCAGGTAAAGGAACCATGGACGTTCAAGGGATTTTATTACACGGTCTTTCCGTGTCATTTTGGGTGCTTAGTGATTTTCAAAGCTTCGCCAATGTACTTATCCTCTCTTCTATCCTTGTCGGGTTTGATGAAAAAATATATGCTCTTTGTACGAGCGATCTAACCACAGACTCTGCGTTGACTGTCGTAATGTGATATGCAGTCCAAATACGTATCCGTGAGTGTTGCCTCTCCAAACGTTTTGCCTTTGCCTTTCTAAGCCAAAGCGTTGTGTAAAAATCGTCAAAAACTTAACCATTCAAGAACACAAAACGCTTCAGAAGACAATTGACCCGTCATGATTTTACCTTATTTGAAAGGAGTATCGGAGAAGAAAATGTGGCTTTTAAAACCAAAGTATCGTGTAGCCACCACACCGTGTATAAGCCATAGAAGTTATCTAGCTTGGCCCAAAGACGAATCAAAAACGTAGCAAAAGACAGGACGCATTTACCCATGCACATGTGAAGGCAAAAAGTTTTATGTGGGGAGGCATGTATAAGCTTAAAGACCGGAAGAGGTGAACACCGGGGAGAAATAAGACACGCGGATATCAATCGTCCGGTCTTATCGAAGCACGTTCTGGACACATAGGTCATTGCATTGCATGAAAGGAGGGGGAAATTTTGGATTATGAAGCAAACTGGAGAAAAAGAAAGATTAAGGCGTATTCTCATTTTTAAAACGCGCATTGAGAAATTTCCAAATACAAAGCCGTGGGTTAGCAATAACGACTGAATGTCGAATTTTGAGATGAAAAGACTGAAAAAGAGCAAGCGGCTCGGAGCAATATGCAATACGGTTTGCGATAGTACGGGTTTCGGGGCAGGAAAGTTGCACACGTTTGCGTTATCCTGTTTTAGTGGCGAGATATATCGCATGCGTCGCTGTTCGAACTGATTCCGCAATGTAGAAAAGCTATTTACAGGTTTGAAATGTGTGCGCGGTGTCAGTTGAATGCCATGTGGCATGACAACATTCAGAATAAGTGCATGATAGTCGTATCGAAAGTGTGAGTGCATGGCGTGTGCTCTTTTCGACGGTTTATATTATTTATCTGCGTTTGAATTGAAAAACAGTTGTCTATTCTACCTTTTTACCTTAGCGGGATAAGTATGCCTCACTGCGTACGACTTTTTAGGTTTTTGGATAAAACAGTAGAAACAACCTCATTTCTCGTAGAATAACCGGGAGAATCGACGGACAGATACAATGATATTTCGGCTACATGCCTTTATCGAAACAAAGGTGAGAAGTGAATTAAAAAATACCTGTCATGTTCTGCCTCTGAACATCCGTTATACAAATAAAATTGTGTATATAGTTGAACATAAAAGATCACATAGGGGAAATTCGTCAGTTTTTTTTCTTGATGTGTGCCTAAATCTGTTTTAATGAATGTCATTGTCTGACCAAGGCTGAAGAAGGTGTAGAAATTATCCGGGAGTTCCTGTGAAATGTAGGCAGGCTGGTTGGATATTATCTTTTCATATATCGTACCTTAGAGTCGCATTAAAAAACGTAATGAACATTTGATAACGACTCATCCACCAAGTAACGAATCAGTCTTCTCGCGCACGGCCGTCGGCCGCCGCTCCCCTAAGCGTCGGGCGTCTGACGTGGTTGATGAGGCGCGCGGGTGATAAGGGAGGGGCAGTCATTGGTTACCACGCATCACGACCGACTTTACTGAGGACTTTACTGAGGAAGTGAAAAGAGGTCACGATATGCCCTGCTTAGTGCACAGTCTGCATGGTGCCGGCTTACAACAGATGCATGCTTATTCACCGTGATACACGCCTCCGTATCAGCTACCGAACAGGATCGTAACTTTGTTATTCAAATATAAAATGGGCTATGGGTCTTGCTGAATATGGAACAAGATCAAGGGATGCACAGACAGGGGCATAGTTTCATGTTCAGCTGGGGGTTTCCAGCCGTCCAACTTGGGCTTCAGCGCCCCCACCCAACCCTTCCCTCGACATTGAGAATGAGATGGGCCAAACTAAGGGCGATGGCACAATATTGGCACATTTTTGGGTGGGTTGTTTCATTATTTAGGGTTCAGCCCCCACCACCCCATCCTAACGTATTTTGCAAAAATGCACTTCTGTGGGCAGACATCTTGGTCTTCGACATCATGTTACACTCATGCACTCATGCATCACCAATTACCTATTCTACGGCCGTAACAGTACACATGGAAAAACTGCCCAGCCATCTGAAATGTTTCCACATCGGTGAAACCATTTCCACAGTGGCCATTTTTTGGACGTCCGTAACGCTTTGAAAGACACGATTGCGACAAAGTTTCATACACCTCCAGATGTGTGTCGCTGATCATTTTGTGCACCGCCGCTTGTTTTCTCGATTGCGCGCGCCTCGGCCAAATCTGCTGCTCAAGATTTTTACCGTCCAGTCGACCTCCTATGGTGGTATTTAGAAAAAGAGAATGTCTCCAGCTGTGGAATGGGCTGCGACCACAAACAAGTTGGGTGTTGGAATTATGCATAATGTACACTCTAGTAAAACCATTGCACTTGCAAACGTAAAATTGCCTCATGTTGATAGGCACTAATGGACTGTGGGGAATTCAGAGTGGGTTAAAAAATTTAGTTCCACTGAAACATACTAGATGGTGGGCGTAGATCAATAACAATGACTAATAATAATTGGCCCCTCCCGCAACCAAAAAGGAAGGCGGGCAAACTCACGGGCTATTCCTTTCCTACATCGCATGCAGGCTGGGCTTTGGCTTTGGTTGCACAAATAACAAAGGTTCCACAATTCGAAGACCATGTTTTCAGCATGAATTCGAGACCGAATTCTAGGCCTACACAATGCCAGACAGTGATAAAATGATTGAAATAATAGTTTTCTTTAATTTGAGAGGGAAAAACTAGATGATCAATACTTTCACTATCTCCCTAAGCCTGCCAAGGGGATCTGATTCGGGGTTCAGAAGTCAAGCATGTCTCTCGGAGGATGATTTTGTTGTCCATCCGTCTTCTTAGGCCCTCGAAGACTGGTTCACGCGGCAAGCCTCTTCACTGTCTCAAATTTTCCGTCGCTTGGTGCCTTTCCGTGGCATGCTGCAAATAAGTTTCAGGTGCAATCCAGCTTAAGTTCACTTAGGTGAAGGCATATTTCCTGACGTTAAATTACCTCTGACATTGAGTGGCTGATGCAGCCATGAAGTGATGGATTTTCCAGAGTGACCTCTGATACGGCTTAGCGGCCAACTCGCCGTCAATTCTGGACTAAAATGCCGTCTCGGTGTCCTGCTGGGTATAGTCCCTTAATACACAAAAACATTTGTGATTGTTACTTCGTTACCGCCTTTCACCCTCGCGCACACCACAAGCGGATGAACTGCTGTTTGTGCGGGCCGCAATATATGCCCTGGGTGATAATGTTGGATCCAAAGCGAGTAATTTCTCGGAAATATCCGTGCAAAGTACACTTTCTCTCTCCTTCAAGGATCTAAACAAGTCTGTCAAGATCGCCCTCTGCGTTTTACGACGAAGTGATGCTTTGTCAGTGTTGTTTGTTTGGTGCAATGCGATTAATGCCGTGTGGTTCATATCAACCCATTGCATGTAATTCATTTTGGCGGCATCAGGTGATATTTTGCAAGCCCGCAAAGAGTGCCTGGAAGACGCCTGCTCCCGGAGAATCTTTGCAATGCCACAACTTGCATTTGCATTTGTGCGACCGGAAGATTTTCTATGAGGTAGTTAAGCGGTGTGCACCGTGTTTGTATGCCGTTTTGAACTGAGACAGTCACGGTGAAGATCATGCAGTGCAGTCCACAGCCCTCTTCTTTTTAAGACTTTCAAGCCCAGACATCCTCTGGTGTCTGAGCCCGACGCCCGTGAACTCGAGCAGACTTTTACGTGCAGCCTATTTGAAAGTCACCCAGGCATGCAGGACACAAAAGACCGCCACACGAATGCTTCCATCTCATGGGCCATGCGGTGCTCGAGGCCAAGAAAGTGGGATAACCGAGTAATTCGCGTCTGGCGTACGTTAGCACGCCTTGTAGGCGCCCCCTTGTTTGACAGCTCCAGCAGGATGCCGCAAACAATAAGTTAATATAGATAATAACCATTTATAAAGCCGGGCTGGAGAGCCGCCTGCTGAAGGCTCGTCACCCAGGAGAAGTTGGACGGCGATGACATGAACCACCCGTGATCAGGTAGGTGGCGCGCGAGAGCCGTCGTCAGGTGGCGCGACGAAGCCGGGCCTGCTGGGCTGTCGTCAGGTATACCGTTGGTCCTTTCAGCTGGCATACACGTATGCATCGAGCCTTGCGTCACGGACTCGTTCGACAGCATTACTCTGATTTCTGTGTGTACTTCTCACAGCACATTAGGTAGGTAGGTAGTAGTACGCTGGTCTGGTCAGCACCTACCTACCACTTTACTTGCTTGAAGGCTCCAGCGAGATGTCGCGAACAGGAAGTTATTTTAAACAATCATTTAAAAGCCAGATTGAAGAAGAACCAGCTGGGGATTTATCACAAAGAAAGTTTTGGACAGCGATGAGTCTGTAAAGCTGTCATATTTGGCGCGTATTTGAGACCAAATGGCCGCCATTTCAGGGCTTTGATTGGGTTATACAACTGGCGAGTTGTCTTGCTCACCATAGCCGGCATTGCGGCCACCACCCTGACATTCTCTGGGGCACTCCTGGTACCAGCCGAAGAGAAAGCCGAACCGGCATATCAAAGTAAGAGCGGACGCATGGACGGCACGACGCATGCGTTATAGTGTCCGTTGACTCCGGTACAGCGAGTCCTGGGCTGGGCTAAAATACGGCTGCTGGCCTGGTGTTTAGTCGTCACGCACGGCAATCAGCGTGCCAGGTCATGATCACCGCCATTAGTACCCAAGCAGTGAAATGCATTGTTTCATAATCCACAAGTTGTTGGGGATCTTACGCCTACGCACTTAAACGCGACCGGGGGGCCTGTTGGATACCCTTCTTTCGGGTGAGAGGTCAGTTTGCCCCCCTGAGATCTCATGAACTAAATAAGCTAGAAACACCAAATTTACGGGGCATATTGACCGGTACATCAACTCATTTATGTCAAAG